TACATTTTCCACAACTGCTTCTGCCCTGGTTTGCTCAGAGGGCCTCAGAAAATCCTGTGAAGCTGTCATAAATTATTAAGGGCATGCTCCAGGCTTCTCATTTCTGGACTAGGACTGGCTGGGGTCTCAGAATGGAAGGCAGTCTCTCAACCTCTCGCTCTCTTAAGGGAGAGATATAGCTCCCTTTTTTGGTGAACACCTATGCCAACTGAAAGCCACCCTGAGAGGCTGGGAACATGCAAAGTCACCCCTCCTTCGAAAAGATGGTGTGGGGAGGGAAGCTCAAGTAATTTGCTATCAGAATGGGAGAATTCGAAAGCTGTGAAAACATCAGGTACGGACTTGTTTTTCTCTCATTGAAGTGGAAAGCACTCTCTAGATTAGGATTTAGGAGGCCTGAGGTTCCAGGCTCCATTCAGAGTTACAGTCAAGTCATAATGTCATTGTGCTTCCATTTCTTCGTGTGTAAAATGGACTATCCAGCTCATTTTCTCTGCAGCACTTTTGAAGATCAGATGACAACGCTTTGGAAATTTAAAGAACTATATAGAGTATAAATACTCATAGAGCTACATAAGAAAAAAGATACTCCACATGCTGCAGAGTTGGGCACATTAGGGTTTCAATCTTGACTCCAGTTCTCAGTACCTATCTGACTATGGGCAATTTATTAACTTTCTGAAGCTCAGACTGCTCAACTGTAAAATTGGGATGCACTCCTAATCAGTTATTGTAAATATGTGATAAGCCATATGTTATGGAATGAATTGTGTCAACCCCAAATTCATACATTGACGTCCTAACACCCTGTGTGGCTGTATTTGGAGGCAGGCCCTTAAGGCGGTAATTAGGGTTAAACGAGGTCATAAGGGTAGGGCCCATGCACATGCACAGAGGAAAGGCCATGTGAGGACACATGAGGAGGCAGCCGTTTGCAAACTGAGAGAGGCTCAGTAGAAACCAACCCTATGGACACCTTGATTTCTGAATTACAGCCTCCAGAATAGTGAACAAACAGATTTTATTGTTTCAGCCACCCAGTCTGTGGTATTTTGTTAGGGCAGTCAGAGCAGACTAACACACTAGGTAAGGTGCTTAGCACAAAAAATAACATTATCAGGTGTACAATATATATAACTTTTTCCTCTTAGAAATAAGATTATACTATTATCCCAATGGTTTGTTAAGGTTATATATCTAGACCTAGTGAAGAGTTCATGCTAATCCAGTCATATTCTCTCCCCTGGTTGTCCTCATGACCGGTGATATTTGTAGTATTTCCAGCCAAGGTTAAAACAAAGCAGTTGCCATACTGCATCAAACTCATGATTTATCATGCTCATCATTTCGTCTGTCAGAGGTACCAAGGGACAGATGTGTTGTGAAGAGGAAAATTGTCATTGACATCAATTCCAAAACACACAAGTTCCTCTAATTCACTCTTTAATTTCCCTAATATTTTAGTCTGCTATTTTTTCTATATCTCTGTAGGCATGTCATTAGTTTACTACCCATGGGGCAAGAATCCTTGTTAGTTTTTCTCCTTATCTAATTCTGATTTTAAGGATTGTCTCTTAGTTCTACTACCTGTGACTTGGCACGTTCAACTCTGAACACCCTAAATTTTGTAGTTTCCTTTTTCTGAAATTTCTTAAAGTTCTGTTCTTCCTCCTTTGGTCCAAACCACCAGAGCTGCATTTTATGGTGAAGTCATCCTGTACAAGGGCAGAAAAATGCTAATGTGTTACGTTTTGTCTCCAATGCCTTTCCTAATGGGGCCATCAATTAAGTAAAGTCAAAGCACCGAGCTGGACTGGGGAGAGGGAGGGAAATGTGGGAGGTTTCTCCATACCCTGCTGGGGGCAGTGACTCAGCAGCTTGTGTCCCCTCCACCACCTGCAGCTGGGAACTCAAAGCTGCGTGGCTGGGCCTGAAGAGGGACTTCCAGCAGAACACAGGACCTTCAGGACAAATAGAACAAGTCTGACGGAGAGCGCATCCCAGTCCCACTCCCTCCCCTGAGCTCCATCCCAGTGGTGTTCCCTGGGAATCCAGCAGGTCTCATGGTCTAGGTGTTCCCCAAGCCTTCCTCTATAAATCTAGGGGGCTCTAACCTCCTCCTCAGTCTGTGGATAATACCAAGGTTAAGAAGCAGCTCCTCACACTGAGAGAGAAGTAAGGAGCTGATGGGCAATCTTAGCCTCCTGGGTAAAAGGTGCAAGTCACAAATTTTGAGAACTAGCACATGATATGTTTCTAATTGTTCCTTCTGCAGAGAAAGGGCCCCGAGCTAATGGCCTGGATCTGGATGTACTTAGATGGCTCTGTTACTTTTGTAAAATCAACACACATTTTTGATAGACTCAGTCACGGTACCTCAGCAAACATTTCTATAAAATTCAACCAACATGCTCAGAGCACCTGTTCACTGAGGTGATTGCAATGCACATCATACTGTTCGGTTCCTTTTGCCTCCAGTACTTTCTAACATTTTCATGTTAAAAAAGATCAGGAAATAGCATCTTGAACAAACAAATCCTACTCTAACTTGCCCAAACTTGAGCAAACAAAATATGTGACCCTAATGTTTCCCTTTTGGAAATGTGTAAGGGATGGCTGTGATAAATGTGACTGCATGGAAGCAAAATATTTTTCAGTCAAAAGTTCAAATCTTAAAACTCTTACCTTTTTTTTTTTTCCTGCAACTAGGCGCAAGGAAAGATGCAAGACTACAGATCAACATAGTTTCAACCTCAGAAACAAGTTTCTGGAAATCAGCTGTTTAAAATGGAAGAGGCTGCCTTAGAAGGCAGCGAACTCCCCATCATTGAAAGGATTTCATGCAAAAACTGGATAGTCCGTTGGCAGGAAATGCTTTCTCCAGTTCAACAGTTATTAAGCCTTGTTACACGCACATGCTTACGAATTGAATGGGGATTCTTCCACTGGGTTTGATGCTCCCATAAGACCCATTATAATTCTAAGATTCTGTAATTGTATGATTTTATCATATATTTGACCAAAACTGTTTTTCACACAGATGAGAACAAGTTTCACCACTCTGTAATGTTTGATGTTTATAAGACAGTATAGTTTAGTGCTTAAGAGCTTAGCTTTTGGAGGAAACGTGATCTGGGTTCAAATGCTATTTTATACAGAGGGCCGTGTGATTTGGGGCGAATGAATGAACTATTCTGAACCTCAGTTTTTCCCAACTGTAAAATGAGTGCTAATAAGTAAAACCACCTCATAATGTTGTGAAGATTGAGATGATCCGCATTGTTGGAGACCGGGTGTAAGCTGACATGGTCCTTGCACCTGAAGGGGCTAGCAAGGCTGGGACCCTTACCCACACAGTTTTCCCAGACTTGTTTGGATGGCGGTTATCAGTAGAATGAGCGCAACCTTTGTAGAATGAGAACAGCCTTTCATGGCTTACCAAGAAGTCTGTAACTATTTACTGAGATTTGCTGTACTGAGAACTTGTCCTTCTGCTCTGTCCCTCCCTTAGAGATTAAGAGGAACAAAGGATACATTCCTCTTGACAGACCTCGTATTCAGTGTGTTGTGTATAAAAGGCTTTGCATGGTTAATAAACTTGCTGCAGTTCCTCGATTGATCTGTAGTCCTCCCAATCCCGCTCTCCTGTCTTTCTTTCTTTTCTCAATTCCCACCTCCCTACCTCAGCCCGGCTCAACCTGTCAGGCTGGCCCTGACACCGCATAAAGCATTTAGCATGTTTAAAACATGATAAATGCTCAATAAATGTTAACACCAAGCTTTACTGGTTGTCATTCTCAAATCTCATATCTGATCTTTAGCTCTGTGACTCTATTTGCAGGAAACAAGAATCTTCTTAATGCTCCTGAGAAGGACTTTTGACACACTGTTTGCATTAAGTTAGTGGTTATTTGTCCCAAGTGTGTCATTTTCTCTCTCCAGGCAATCAGTAACTTTCAGAAAGAATTCCATAATCCTTTTATTTCCATTTTTTTCGCCAAAGTTTATCCAAGTCAGTACATCCCTTTCCACATGTATGCCATCCCAGTTCACCACAGTGAACGTCTCACAATTGAACGACCACCACACGCCAGGGACTAACACTTCACCCACCATTAGTGAGGGAGTCCGCATTGCCTCATGGTCTTCCTCCTCAGTGGTCAACCTCCTAGGACAGCTCACAGCACCGAATGTCCTAAATCAGGTTCCCTAAAACAGGGATTCAGAACCTCATGATTGGTTAAGGGTATGCTCTTCAGGAAAAGTATTTGTGAGAGGGAATGAAACAGATCAAGAGGGCAAGAGTCGAGCATGGACATAGTCTCAAGGTCTAGCCTTAGCCTGATCCACAAAGAGTGGCTGGGGAAACATAAACTACATTATAGGTTTCCCCCTGCTTTAGGCAAGTGAATCAACCTTTTGTACCTCATCAGTCAGTCACTGGCTGGAGTGGGGGCGGCAGATAAACTCCTGGATGCTGCAGCTCCCACCATCTGAGGACAAGTCTCCAGAATCTTTGGAGAAGGGAAGCGCTGTGAGCACTTAGCAGCCTCAACTCTGGGCAGCTTAGTGGGTAGGTGTGCCAGTTTGGCTAGAGGAATCTGGACAGGACACCAGTGTACAACACAAGTTCAATTTGCTGTTTATTGTACGCTAGGCAGTCAGCAGAAGCAGGACTTCAGCAGTGCCCAAAAGCTCTTTCCCTTTCTTTAGCAAACAGATGCAAGTTATACCTTTTTTCCATGTTATCTTTTGCCCACAACTCCTACCCAGACCATGACATTCCTGCTCCTGATTACTGTTTACTTTCAAATCCAGCTGCAATGCAAATTGAGACTCAATCTACATGTCATTATCCTGCGGGGGAATTAGTATACATATTGCTTGGATCACAATTCTTTATTTTTTATTTTTAAATATATTTTTATTGATTTCAGAGAGGAAGGGAGAGGGAGAGATAGAAACATCAATGATTAGAGAGAATCACCAAATCAGCTGCCTTTTACACACCCCACACTGGGGACCAAGCCCACAACCCTAGCATGTGCCTTTGACCAGAATAGAACCTGGGACCCTTCAGTCTGCAGACCCACGCTCCATCCACTGAGCCAAACTGGCCAGGGCGGAACCACAATTCTATGTGCATAGCTACCCTGTTGTGGGTAATAGAAAAGAAGAAGAAAAAAAGTCCACTATTTGGCCTGTCTTCTTAATTCCTCTAAGGTCCCGCTCCCCTCCCCTCAAGATGTGACTAACCAACACAGTTTCTACTGAATTGAAAAACTTAACTCCTCTTTATAATAGCTAATCTGATGATAACAGAATCAAAACAAAACCAAAAAAGTAGAGTGTGTTTCATGGAGAAGTTGTAGATTGAATAAGATAGTAAGGAACACATACCATTCGGCCTCTGAACCCAATTTTTCCAAAATATAAAAACCAGTCAATTTTTTTTTCAAAGGGTCTAATACTTATGATGGGAACAAGGACTGGAGCCTTCTATTGGCCAGGACAACCATTTCTAGGGAAGGTTCGTTGCTGAGGTACCAAAACGAGTATCATGCTGAAGAGTTCTCTTTCTTTACCTGTGCTCTTCCCTGAATAGATAAGCTGTCAAGGCAGAAATTACAAACAACGCTTATTTCTACTGTATCCATGAGGCTTTCCCAGTGTCAATGATCTGACATTCAAATGAATAAGTGCTACTTGAAGGTTTTCCTTCACCCATCATATCCATGGGTTCTCTCTCTCTCTCTCTCTCTCTCTCTCTCTCTCTCTCTCTCTCTTTTACTGCCCTGGCCAGGAATCGAACCATGACCTCTTGGTTCATAGGTCAATGTTCAACCACTGAGCCACGCCGGGCGGGCACCATGGGTTCCCTTTTGTCTACATTCTCAAGCATGAAGATGCTAACAAAAGCATTTCTCCTTGGGAAAAGCAAACAAATGATCTATTTCTTGTTCTCCAGTGTTCCTAAATTCTAACTGAAGGATTTCAGTTATGTATCTGGAGGTTTTATGGTTAAGCTGAAGTTGTTACTACATTCATCACAGAAGTAGGATTTCTCTTCAGGAAAGCTTCTCTAAATTGAGTAAGAGCGGTGCTACAACAGAAACATCTATACACTTACGGTATTTATGGAACCTGTCCTCTCATGACTTCTCAGATGTTTGAAGAGGCTACAACTCCAAGTGAAACTCATTCCACATTCTGTACATTGAAAGGGTTTCTCACCAGTATGCATTCTCTGATGTTGATTAAGATGTGACTTCAGAGTGAAGCCTCTGCCACATTCATTACATTGATAGGGTTTCATGTTAGAATAGGTTTTTTGACGTTGTTTTATGTGAGAACACTGGCCAACATTTTCTCTACATAGATCACATTTACAGGTTTTCTCTGCAGTATGAGTTCTGTAATGCTGAATAAGGTCAGAACTATAATTAAAGGCTTTGCTACATATATCACATTTATAAGGCTGCTCTTGTAACTCAATCTTCTTATCTTCAATCACTGTTAAATTCCAACTATATGCTTCCTCACAAACGCCATTTTTTTCTTTTTTCTGACCCATGTGGAGCACCTGATGTTCAATGAGGCTAACATACTGAAAAAAGATTTCTCCACATTCATGACACTGATGGGTTTTCTCTCTAGAATGAAGTCTTAGATGCCCAGCAAGGTGTGAACGCCTCCCAAAACCTTTCCCACACTCATTACATTTAAAGGGTCTCTCCCCACTGTGCACACTCTGATGCTGAACAAGATGGGACCTTACTCTAAATGCTTTCCCACATAAATGACAGGTGTAGGGTTTCTCGCCAGTGTGGACTCTCTGATGCTGAGTTAGGTGCACACGTTGATTATAGCTTTTCCCACACTCATCACACCTAAATGGTTTCTCTCCAGTGTGTATTCGCTGATGTTGAATAAGATGGGCACTCTGAATAAAGCTTTTTCCACATTCATTACATTTATGTGGTCTCTCTCCTGTGGAGGATTTTTTGTGGACATATGTGACTTGATTGAAATTTATCCTCTTTGAAGAGGGTTGTCCTACTATCTCTTTCATGGGAATTCCCTGCTTTCTATCCAACTTGCCTTCTCCAAAATCTTGAACTTGAGAAACATTTTTTTGGATTCTTCCAGATAGTTCCATGTCTGCTTCTGAAAATTCTGAAATTTTCTTCTTAACATTCAATTTTGTATTCTTACTTCTTTTGTCATTGCCTGGAAAAATAAAGAGGAAATGCAAATGTCATCAGTTCTTTTATAGAAGAAAAATAACTTTCCAAAAAAAAAAGAAAATAAAAATGAAAATATGATGTAATAGTAGTGAAAAAGGGGATACATGTATGTACTTGATGCAATTTAGCTCTGGCCAGTGTGGCTCAGTTGGTTGGAGCCTCATCCCATGAATTGAAGGGTCACAGTTTGATTCTGGTCAGAGCACATACCCAGGCTGCAAGTTTGAACCAACTGATGTTTGTTTGTTTGTTTGTTTCTTTCTTTCTTTCTCTCTCTTTCTCTCAAGTCAAAAATAAATAAATAAATAAATAAATAAATAAATAAATTTAGTAATATGTATTGACAGCCATAAAGATGTTTTTGGCCTTTCATCCACTAATCCCACTTCTGGGCATCTATTATGAGAAAACAATCCTAAATACTGAAAAAGGCATAAGCACAGCTATCAAGATAAAAGTGAAAATTTTAGAAGTCCAACTGGGGAACAGTTCAGTAAATTATGACGTCTCCACACAATAGCAGATTATCAAAAATAACAAATAGGAAGGTCAAGCAACACTAGAAAATGTATATGTCTAATATTTGTGTCCTATGAGTATAACTATATAAAAATAGGCTATAAGCCAAGCCAGTGTGGCTCAGTGGTTGACTGTTGACCTATGAACCAGGAGGTCAGTTTGATTCCCAGCCAGGGCACATGCCTGGTTTGTGGGCTCAATCCCCAGTGCAGGAGGCAGCCAATCAATGATTCTCTCTCATCATTGATGTTTCTGTCTCTTCCTCTCCCTTCCTCTCTGAAATCAATAAAAAATATATTTAAAAATAAAAATAGGCTTATGAAAAAGAATAGAAGGAAATCCACTACACAGTAATAATGCTATTAGGATAATGAAATTATGTGTGATTTTTTTCCTCCCAATTTTTTTCCTCCAAACTTCCTATTATTTTAAAATAAAATTAAGTAAAATAACTAAATTGGAAAAAGTTGGAAAAGAGGAGGAAGTAAGAGAGTCCAATTTCTCATTTACTAGACTAGAAAGTGAATAGATACTGTCTAAAATTGACTAATAAGGCAATAGCAGGATTATTTAAAACTAGAAGCCAGGTGCACGAAATTTGTGCATGGGCACAGTCCTTAGGCCTGGCTGGCAATTGAAGCGTGAGCCTCTGATATGGAAGGGCAGGTCCCAGCTGACCTCTGGACCCTGGGCAGCACCTGGGCCCTTGGGCCCCCGTGTGCCCCCTCTGCCTGAGTCACAGCACCCGAGTCCCCACGCGGAGATGCGGTGAGCATGGCTGGATGCCACGGGCTGGGTCGCCGCATTGGCCTCTGGGCCGCCCAGCGGCACTGCACAGAAGCCGGGCGGGCAGCGCGCTCTCTCCCAGCCAGCCTCGCAGACCGGCTCCTGCACGAACCCACGGGGAGCCCAACCGGCCTCTGTGGTCCTGGCAGCTGTGGCCCGGCTCACCAGAAGAAGCTGTGCAGGTGTGGGGCCGGCTCCCTCATGGGCACCCAGCACCTGAGCGCAGGGCCTTCCCCAGCGTGTGAGCCCTGACGTCCCTGGGGAGGGTAGCAGAGGGAGTGAGAGCGAGCTTGGCAGACACCCCGCATTCTCACCACATCTCCATCCCCGCCACTCCCATCCGTAGGTATCTGGTGAGAGGTCACAGAGCATCGCCAACGCCCACCATGCTCCGTGCTGCCCCGTGGTAGTCGCACATGCCACAGCGAGTGGTCGAACTCTGGTCAAATGACCACCCAAGGGGACAATTTGCATATTAGGCTTTTATTATATAGGACTAGTGACCTGGTGCATGGATTTGTGCACATTGAAAGGAAATTAATTAGAAGGTGGCTGGCAGGGCGGGACTGAGCGAGACAGGAAGGACATGCCATGGAGCCAACCTCCCGTGGTCCCTCCCCAGCCGGCCACACGTGCGGCAGTGCCGCGGCTCGAAGGGCATCTGAAGAGTAAGCAGAATCCCTCTGGCAGGTGGGGTCCCTTGGCCTGGCCTGTGGGGATCCGGCCGAAACCAGCTCTCCGACATCCCGAGGGGTCCCAGATTGCGAGAGGGCGGTTTTTGGGTGACACACCCCAGAATTGGGCTCCCTCCTCTCTGGTTCTGGGGTGCGTCACCTGAGAACCACCACTGCCAAGTCACTGCAGCTTAACACTCCTGCGTTGAGCATCTGCCCCCTCGTGGTCAGTGTGCATTATAGCTACCGGTCGAACGGTCGCTTAGCCTTTTATATATACAGATATGGAATTACTGGAAGAAAACAGAGCTTCAAGCAAGTACAGTGGGGCCTTGACTTACGAGTGTCATGACTAACGAGTTTTTTGAGATATCAGCTGTCTCTCGGCCGATTTTTTGCATTGAGTTGATAGAGTAATTTGAGTTAATGAGCTCCTTAACAAGCTCCTAACGAGCTCGGTCTCGGAACGAATTAAACTCGTAAGTCAAGGCCCCACTGTACCTCTGGAGAAAGGTAAGTTGGGACAGAGAAGAGGGCATAGGGTTTTGCCTACTGATTTGACAATTAAAGTATCTACACTAATAAAAGAGAAAAATGGTAATTGGCGTACGACCGCTACCCTTCCCATTGGCTAATCAGCGTATCCTTATGCAAATTAACTGTCAGCCAAGATGGCGGCCGGCAGCCAGGCAGCTGGAAGCGAACGTGAGGCTTGCTTGCTCCAGGGACTGCAGACTCCAACGTTCCCCGCCTGACTTGCCGGCCTCTGAGCTGGCAGTTTGAAACATTCTAACAAATATAGCCGGCTGGGATCTCAGAGCTGAAGTTATACATTGTTTCGATTATAGAACGGCAAACAAACCAGCAGCGGAAACCTCAGAGCTAGAGCCAGAGCTAAAGCTGGCCCAGAATAAAAAAGAAAAGAAAAAAAGGACAAGTTGGGAGCTTCAGTCAAAACCGCCAGCCTGAAAGCAGCCCTCAGCCCCTCACCCAGACTGGCCAGGCACCCCAGTGGGGACCCCCACCCTGAAGGGTGTGTGACCAGCTGCAAACAGCCATCATCCCCTCATCCAGGCTGGCCAGGCACCCCAGTGGGGAACCCCACCCTGATCCAGGACACCCTTGAGGGCAAACCAGCCGGCCCCCAGGCCTCTATCCTATATAGTAAAAGGGTAATATGCCTCCCAGCACCGGGATCAGCGTGACAGGGGGCAGCGCCCAAACCCCCTGATCGCCCTGCGGCTCTGTGTGTGACAGGGTGTGGCGTCCCAACCCCCTGATCGGCCCTGCTCTGTGTGTGACAGGGGGTGGCACCCCAACCCCCCCCCCCACGGGCCCTGCTCTGTGTGTGACGGGGTAGAGCCATAACCTCCCCATGGGCCCTGCCCTGAGTGTGACAGTGGCGGCGCCCCAACCCCCTGATCGGCCCTGCTCTGTGGGTGATAGAGGGTGGCGCCCCAACCCCCTGATCTCGCCCTGCTGTGTGTGTGACGAGGGTGGTGAGGACCCAGTGCCCCAACCCCCTGATTGGCCCTGCTCTGTGAGTGACAGGGGGCAGCGCCCCAACCCCCCGATTGGCCCTGCTCTGTGCATCACAGGGGGTGGCGCCGAAACCTCCCCATTGACCCTGCCTTGAGTGTGATAGGGGGTGGTGCCCCAACCCCCCAATCAGCCCTACCCTGAGCGTGACTGAGGGTGGCATCGCAACCTCCCAATCCGCCCTGCTCTGTGCATGACAGGGGGCGGTGCCCCAACTCCCCAAACAGCCCTGCTCTGAGCCCGACCAGGGGCTGCACCTAGGGATTGGGCCTGCCCTCTGCCACACAGGAGCAGGCCTAAGCCATCAGGTCGTTATCTCCTGAGGGGTCCCAGACTGGGAGAGGGCACAGGCCGGGCTGAGAGACCCCCCCTTCCCCCCCGAGTGCACAAATTTTTGTGCACCGGGCCTCTAGTCCTATGTAATAAAAGGCTAATATGCAAATAGACCAAATGGCAGAACAACTGAACAACCAGTTGCTATGACATGCGCTGACCACCAGGGGGCTTGCGCGTAACATGGTGGGCGTTGGCAACAGGCAGCAGAGCACAGAACATAGCGGGTGTCAGGCGCGGTGGGATGGTGGAGCAGGTAAGCAGGGGCACCAGACCAAGGTGGGGCACAGTTGCTGTCATCGGGGCGAGCCTCTAGTGGTTACTGAAAATTCTTTGCTCCCACATGCTATGGTCCCGCCCAGCGCTTGCACCCGCTGCCGGCGCCTGGCACTGGTCCCGATCGCTTGGCACTGTCAGCGGGTGTGAACGGCAGCTGCCGGCCCCAATCGCCCCTGAGGGCTTCTCCACCTCCCCCTGCTCCTGAGGGGCGATCGGGGCAGCAGATGCCGCTCACACCCGCTGATGGTGCCAACCCCGCTCACACCCGCTGCTGGCGCTCGCTCCAATCATTCCATGCCATCAGCACGTGGGAGCAGTGGTGGTGGGAGCAGGGCTGCGACGGGAGGGACTGGGAGGGGGTGTGGAGGATGGGCTGAGACCCATCCCTGTGCCCACCACAGCCTTGTGGCCCACAGTTCCTTTCAAGGTGCACGAATTTGTGCACTGGGCCCCTAGTCTATATAATAAAAGCTCAGTGACCATTACGGTGGAACAACAAGAACAACCAGTCACCATGACACCACTGACCACCAGGGGGCAGATGCTCAACGCAGGAGCTGCCCCCTGGTGGTCAGTGCGTTCCCATAGCTGGAGCGCTGCTCAGCCAGAAGCCGGGCTCACGGCTGGGGAGAACAGTGGCAGCGGTGGCCGGAGCCTCTCCCGCCTCTGCGACAGTGCTAAGGAGCAGCAAGCCAAGTGGTAAGGAACAAGCAGGCGGTGGTCAGGAGTGAGGGGCTCCAGATGGTGAGAGGATGCAGGCCGGGCTGAGAGACGCCCCGCTCCTGCATGAATTTCGTGCATCAGGCCTCTAGTAAATAATAGACTATAATCTTTGCTCCTTCCTACTGCTCCCTATCCACAACTCATCTGTTCTAAGCTAATAAAAACATTTTTGCCTCCATTTATTCTCCAATATAAACTCTTCACACATACATCTTTGGGATTTCTCTCTGAAGTGGCGCTTCAGGTGCTCAATCAGATGAGAGTGCCGACCAAAGTTTTTCCCACATTCGGTACATCCGTAGGGTTTCTCTCCGCTGTGCACACTGTGATGCTGGACAAGGTGGGAACTCACACGAAAGGCTTTTCCGCACACCTGACATTTATAGGGTTTCTCACCAGTGTGGACTCGCTGATGTTGAGTAAGGTGCACACGCTGATTATAGCTTTTCCCACATTCACCACACTTAAATGGCTTTTCTCCAGTGTGGATTCGCCGATGTTGAATGAAGTTTGAGGCTTGAAGGAAAAATTTACCACAATCATTACATTTGTGACCTCTCTCAGCATTTGTGTTTTGCTTACAATTAATGTCTGTGATGGCACCAAGATCTCTTTTCTGGGAAGGGTTCTGCCTTGACTTCCCCACACTGGGGTTTACCTGCCACCCTTCTACCATGCTGCGAAGGTCATTAACTTCTCCAAATTCTTGACTTTGGGCAACACTTCTTTCTGATGTCATCCAGTGCGATTTGGCTTCATCAGAAATCTGCTTTACTATGAGTTCCATATTGTCATTCTTTGACTTGCAATCTGAAATAATGGAAGAAAAATGAAAAATTTAGCTACTTCCTATAGTAGAAGAAATAAAATGACTAAGGGATATAGAATAATTATACAAATCCAACATGAGCACATGACCATGTAAACTGGTATAACATTTTTCAAAAGGAATCTGGCATTATCTATGTATTTCATCTAAAGTCTACCAGTGTGCTTGTTATATAGTGGTTCTTCTAAAAGAATTCATTCAAGCCCAGCTGGTGTGTCAATGGTTGAGCATCATCCTATGAACCAGGAGGTCATGGTTTGATTCCTGGTCAGAGCACATGCCCGGGTTGCGGGCTTGATCCCCAGTTGGGGCATGCAGGAGGCAACTGATCAATGATTCTCTCTCATCACTGATGTTTCTACCTCTCTCTCCCTTTCTCTCTGACATAAATAAAAAAAATTTTAATAATAAATAAATAAATTCAAAAGAAGCTAAAAGCTGTAAGCTCCAAAATGTTTGCCATAGTACTAAACTTGTTATAATTGCTCTAGGCAGCAAAATCAAATATTAGTTTCCAAGATCATAACATAGTTAGAAATACTGGCAAAATCTTATTTGGGATGCAAAATTCAAGAAGGGATATGACAAAGAAACAACAAAAAAGAAGAAAAACAAATAAAATTTTTAAAAAAGTAAACATAAAGAAAAACAAATATCTTTTTTAAAAAAAAAAAAGGGGGGGATACAACATGTAAAATGTAGATACCAACAGGGAAACCATCATAAAATAGGTACCAGTGATTTGAGAATTGTAACAGGGTGAATAACTAGCCACCCATGAGCTAGAAAGAAAAGAATGGATGCCATTGAAATATTGTAATAATGACTACTACAATACTTATTCAGCAAAGTCTGAGATGCTTTTACAAATGAGAATTATTCAGCTAAGAATTAGTCAATCTGTCAAGGAATAGAATATCATAACTACTATAAATCTGTTAAAATCCAAACCTGTTAGTTTTAAGCTCTTTCATTTTAAAGCAGATAGTATTTGCAAATATTTTTTAAAATATATTTTATTGATTTTTTTACAGAGAGGAAGGGAGAGGGAGAGTTAGAAACATCGATGAGAGAGAAACATCAGTCAGCTGCCTCCTGCACACTCCCCACTGGGGATGTGCCCGCAACCAAGGAACATGCCCTTGACTGGAATCAATCCCAGGACCCTTCAGTCTGCAGGCTGACACGCTATCCACTAAGCCAAACCGGTCAGGGGAGTATTTGCAAATATTATTCTCCAAGCACTTCAGTCATACCCTTATTATGAAGGAAATAATTAAAATAAGCTAAGGGGGAGGGGGGGGAGGTTGATTTATTCTTTCACAGAAAAAAAAAGCCACATTATAGCAATTAAAACACACATGCTTTTATAAGATGCACTAGAAATATTCTTTGCAAGATAACAAAATTAATATGTCCTAATCCATGCAGACAAAATAAGTCTTACCCATGGAGGTAATACTCTCATAATTCTCCTTCCTGTCATCCCTATAGAGAGACTTCTGGGACTGGTCCAAATGTTCCCATTCCTCCAGGATAAAGGAAACAGCCACATCAGCCACATCTTCAATTTTCACCAACTTCTGAAACACGATATCTTCACTAAATTCCCATTCCCCATGTTCCAATTTGGATGAGGGAAAGAACTGCAAGTATTAAGGAAAGAAATAGGAGGCGGGACTATGCTTCAAAGAGGATGGAGAGTATTGGGTAGAATGGAAAAAGGATTGAAGTATAAACCCAAGGTGGGCCTGGTCTCTAAAGAGACAGAACTCCTGATAAAGATTCAGGATTAAGGCAGCTACGTCTTCAAGAACAGACATGGGAATAGACATGCAGGCACAGGGACGCCAGCTCACCTGGGACCCAGCTGAGAGAAGTGAGGCTGTCAGCTCCTGGCTGTCCTTCAGGGGAAGGGAAGAAACTTGGAGAGCAGGAAGGGTTGAGGGGGGAGAAAAAAAGGTGTTAGTGAGAATATCTTTGCCCAGCTCTGACTGCCACCATATTCCACTTTTGGTCAAGAATCTACAATGCTGCCTTGCCACACCAAGACCAAATTCTTCTGCGTGGCTCTCAAGATCCTCGACATTCCGGCCTCTCCCACGCCTACCCTATATTCACCCTTCCCCCCCAAAACACTAGACTCCCTGCTTTGGTCAGCTAATCCCTGCTGCTGACTTGAGACTGTGCCATTCTGCTCTGCCAAGACTGAACCTAGTCATTTCAAAGGATAACAAAGTCTCGCAGCTTCAGATCTCAAGCACTTCCTAGAGCCCAGGGCTTCTCACGCTTTAATGAGCAAACAAATCACCTGGGGTCTAAGCATAGAGCAGATTCTGGCTTAGTAGGTTTGGGCTGCACATTTTGCATTTCTAACAAGCTTCCAAGTGATGTTGTTGCTGCTGCTCCTTGAATTACACTTTATGATTAGCAAGGCATTAGTCCACATGCTCTCCCTTCAAGGAATTACTATGGTTGGTTTATAGTCAATAGTATATATTATTAAGCCTACTCTCTGTGTTATAATAGGCAGATAAAACAGTCCTTGCCTTCTAAAACTTCAGTAACAGGAAGTGTAGACGTGTAAGCCTTACTTACTTCCAGAATAGGGTCAATTACCAATTCTATACTTGAAGTTCACCATTAGGAATGCCGAGTAGAGAGTGGAAGGCGAAAGCTTCAGGAAAGCCTGTCCACAGGACGTAGGGGTGGAGTGGGGTGAGGGTACGGGTGCTTTGCAGGTGGAGTGAATAACATGTGCAATGCCTGGAGGGTCTGATATCTAGATGCTGGTGACTATTTGACCCTCTGCTGTCACCTCTGCTTATTTTTTTTTAAATATATTTTATTGATTTTTTACAGAGAGGAAGGGAGAGGGATAGAGAGTTAGAAACATCGATGAGTGAGAAACATCGATCAGCTGCCTCCTGCATGTCCCGTACTGGGGATGTGCCAGCAACCAAGGTACATGCCCTTGACCAGAATCGAACCTGGGACCCTTCAGTCCGCAGGCCGATGCTCTATCCACTGAGCCAAACCGGTTAGGGCGCCTCTGCTTATTTTTGTCAAGATTCATGGTGCATCCAGATCTCAATCTATGTGAGGCCACCTTTAACAAATAACCTGACAGTTTAGACCTTGCTATGGTTTCCTCAGTCCTGGAGATGTCTGTGTATATGTAGCTTGCTTGTCTCTGAGGACTATAAAGTAATGACACAAAAAGGAGATAATGATTATTGATGAAAGACAGAGTCTGAAACCAGGAGTGTGGCTAAAGAGTCAAAAGAGGAGACTTGAAATAAAGGGATGAATGTAGTCTATACTTGAACAGTAATTGTGAGTACAGAATACATTCCAATTATAACTGGAATTATTATAGTAATTCCATTCTAAATAATTCCACTTATTTTTTGAAGTTCCTGCGAAACCCATTGCTTCTTTAACTTTTAAGTAAATCATTTTGCCTCTCTCGAGCCCAAATTAGTCCCAGCCTTCAGTGCTATCAAAGGCATAAGGAATGCAGCCTCCCCCAGTGTATAAAAAAAATTAAAAACACAGTAATTTTGTTGGAATAAAGAAAGGGCTAGGGTCTGGCTAACAGGGCAAAGAAGAGAAGCAGCACCTAGGAACAGAAGAAAAGAGCAGCATGATGTGATGAGACTCTGCAAGTAGCGGGAAGATGACATGATTTAAGGAGGACGGGATTCTGTCCTTGGGAGGGCCTGGTGGTTAAAGCAAAGGCAGGATAGCTCAGAATGGGGTAAAAGTGTAGAAATAGAGGGTTAAAATATGAGCTCTGTCACTTAATAGCTTTGTGACCTTGAACAAATTACTTAACCTTTTTAGGCCTTAGCTTCTTAATTTCTAACATGAGGATAACAGCAGTACCTCCTCCTTCCACTGAGTACTAGGCCTATTACACCATTTTGGGTTTCCATGTTGAACAGTTTTAACTATTTTTAAAGACTGTAATTATATGACTTTTATTCCTTTAGAGATCTTCTGAAGAACAGAAAGAAAATTCATTTTATGTTTTAAAAAATATAATAAAACTCATTCTATCTTGTAATTTCTATAATGGATCCACTGGACCCTTTTATAAATTTAGAAAACATTTTGGGATCTGACTAATCTTATTTTTCCTGTATCATGAAACATTTTTCTATTCCATCATCCCAGGAATGATTTCATTCTTACTAATCACTATTCATTAATTACTTCCAATGAGAGCATAGAAGACTAAAATAATAAGAAATGAGAGAATAAATAAAATATTTAGGATTACGCAACAGTGAAAAACATCATCATTATTCACTATTCCCAAAGTATTAAATACATTACATAGAGTTTTGCAACATCTTCCAGAAGGTATAAGACTGTTGACATCTACTTCTAACTTTCATTGAGCATAGTTGAGAATTTGGAAGTTTTTATTTTCTACCCATATTGGCAAGGAGAAAAAGACATTTCACTATTATTAGATGAATGAGATGATGAATTGTGACAGAGAACAGCGTGCTCTCTAATGATAATGATAAAACTGAAAATATAAGGGAAATCTTAGAATGCGTCTACAAATGATATCTTAGATGAACTTTCTCAAACTCAAGAATCAATAATAAACGATACATTTTTAATTTCATAAAAGGAATATGACCCATCTTATCCAGTGAGGCATTCAACAGGAAGGATTTCATCATGCAATATTTTGCAACAAGATTCTGGACTATCCCATTTTATTAAAAAGACAGTTTTTTATTTTGCTAAAGAGACAGTACTGTGTGACAGTACTCTTTTGTTTTTTTATGATATTTTAATTATCAAAATGCACTTGATACAAAGAAGTGTAATTCTTATTAAATCTTCTTTAAAAATTGTTATCATCGCTCAGTCGGTGTGGCTCCGTGTTTGAGCGATGACCTATGAACCAGGAAGGCATGATTTTATTTCCAGTCAGGGCACTTGTCTGGGTTGTTGGCTTGATCCCCAGTGGGGGGCATGCAAGAGATTGATGATTCTCTCTCATCATTGATGTTTCTAGCTTTCTCTCCCTCTCCCTTCCTCTCTGAAATCAATAAAAAAATATTTTTAATTGTTTTTTTAATATATTTTATTGATTTTTTACAGAGAGGAAGGGAGAGAGATAGAGAGTTAGAAACATCGATGAGAGAGAAACATCAATCAGCTGCCTCCTGCACATCTTTCACTGGGGATGTGCCCGCAACCCAAGTACATGCCCTTGACCGGAATCGAACCTGGGACCCTTCAGTCCGAAGGCCGACGCTCTATCCACTGAGCCAAACCGGTCTTGGCTTAAATTGTTTTTATCCTTTGATTCTTCTATTATTATGCATAAAATTACTTAAATATAAAAAAAAGATAAAGGATCCATTGGCCCCAGATGGTAAGTGAAGATTATTTTTCCTGGTACATTGAAGGTTAAATGAATTCCTACAAGTAAAGCTTAGAACAGGTCCTGACACATAGTAGACTATGTGTCATAATAGCTGCTGCTGCTGTGCTTTTATTATTATTACCACAGTGAAAGGAAAGCTGGAAAAGATTAGAGACATAGGACATGTCAAGTGAAAGGCCTGACCACTAAGGGGAACCTAGAAGAAAGCCTGGGGCCAAACAGGAAATACAAGTTCACAATTTCCAATCCATAATTCTGAAATCCCAAAGCTCTACATACCAAAGGTGGTCTTTTATTTCATGAAGTTAGGCACAGAACTAATTTGACAACAAAACCTAACCAGAACATATGCGAAGCTAATCAAAGCTTTTATTTAATCCACTGTTGTATATATATATACATACATTTCACTGCTGAAATATGAAGGTGTGTGATTATGGGGTACCATGTCAAATCCTGTTGGTAGTGTAATATGTGGTATGTAAATCACATTATCTTACTAAATCTGAAAAATTCTGAATTCTAAAATATATTTGATGGCAAGAGTTTCTGGTTAGAGATTACGACCTGTGGACATATATCATCATAAATAAGATAAGCTGTTCACTTTTCTTCTTTGATATATCTAATACAGGTTAATAAGGGAAGGAAAGAAAGAGAAAACAAATGCTCTAAAGGTCATGGTGAAGCACTGCTTGAAATAAGAATGAAAGCAAAATTCAAAATAAAGAATTTAAAAAAATGAAAGCAATTAGGAATTAGAAACTTTTTTTTTACTTAAGCATTAAGATAACAAAATCTATGAAGTACACTTGTAAATCTCCTAACAGTACCTATAAAGTTCTCATCATCTGCACTATAGCTTTTGAATAGAACTGTGGTACAGTTCCTAGCCATCCTATAAGCTGACCTGTCTTTTTTTAAAATACATTTTTATTGATTTCTGAGAGGAAAGCAGATGAAGAGATAGAAACCGCAATGATGAGAGAGAATCATCAATCGGCTGTCTCCACATTGGGGATCAAGCCCACAACCTGGCATGTGCCCGAACCTGGAATCAATCCATGACCTTCTGGTTCATTAGTCAATGCTCAACCACTGAGCCACGCCAGCTGGGCAACCTGACCTCTCTTAATACCAGGGACTCAATTCCAGGTCCCCATACCATGCCAACCTCCAAATCCTACTGGTTGCAGAAGCTCCCTAGCCTGAAGTCTCTCTCTTATAGACACTGCTTACCCACATGGCCAGGGCGCCCACTCTCTGGCCACATCTGTTCCACCAAATCATAGAGCCTCACCATTTTCCTCCAGATGTGGCTTCTGTGGCTCTTGTTCAGGCTGGGGGTCCAGAGACAGAAGCTGGTGATGGAGGGACTCCTGCATAGCTCCTGATGGCACCATCTTCTGAGAAAGGACTTCTGGACATGCCACAATCTAACAACCACAACCACACCAATCAGTACTTTAATGAGAAGGCTATTAAAGAACCCAGTAAATTCACATTATTCTTTCATTTGTTCATATACTAAATATTTAATGTGCTAGGTCTATAATGAGTCAGACACTGATTATACATGGTTTATATCTAGTTGAAGAAGACCTCGATTAAACACTTCAACAAATAAATAAATACTAGTACATAATTACAGACTATGTTGTATGTTAGAAAAGAGAAGGAAGTACCATGAGACAGATCAGATGAGATCTACTTTATGTTTTAAGATATGTTTTTATTGATTTGAGAGAGGAAGGGAGAGGGAGAAGAGATAGAAACATTGATGAATTGGCTGCCTCCTGCACGACCCCTACTGGGGATTGAGCCCACAACCAGGGCTTGTGCCCTGACAGAGAATCAAACCGGTGACCTCTTGGTTCAGGGGCTGACACTCAACCAGTGAGCCACACCAGCTGGGTATGAGATCTACTTTAGATTGGGTAGCCATCAAAGGCTTTTCTGAGGAAGTGTCACTTAAGTAAACACCTAAAGGATGAAAGAAGCCAGCCAGGAGAGAGGTAAGAAGTGTTGCAAGCAGAGAGAACAATATAAACAAAGACCCTCAGGCAGAAAGAGGGTATCTTAGGAAGGCCAATGTGGGTCAAGTTTAGTAAAGAGGGAGAGAGGTGAGAAAGGAGTTTGGAAAGGTCAATTATAAGACTCAGGAAGTGACACGTGGTTCTCCAGCAGACCAACACCAAGACTTAAGCTAGTTCATGTCCAGTGTGCAACACACCTCAATCTTTCTGTTCTTGGCTCTTGCTCAACCTTAGGGTACACACAATTACTCTGCCACAACCAGTCTCCAGAATCTGTCTCAGCAGCAACTTAGCAGGTAATAAGATCCTGCATTGAGATGGAATCACCATCCCCTTTCTCCCCCTCTTATGGTTTCAAAACACTTTTGATTTTAACCCTCCTAGTACTGGCAAAATGTGGCACAAGAGTTACATTAAGAGGCAGTTGCAAAACAGTTGTGGCAAATATTCTGTGTGAAAGTTTGTGTCCTGGTTGACCCACTCAGAACAGAGTTAAGACGATGCCAAGTATGTCAAAGGGCACCGTGGGCAACAAAGAACCAAAACAGCCCTTGATGTCCGGAAACTCGGGCAGAGAAACTGAGAAAGGAGAAGGATAAAGCCTGGGGAAAGGTCTGCAGAGACAAGAACTACCTAGAGATAAAGTTGAGGAAAAATGTCAGGGATACAGGAGACGGACAGAGAGAAAGGCAAACAAAGTATGCTGTGGAGGCCCGTGGGAAATGCCCTATCTGGGCCTCAAATCCTGACTACCACTAAGGAATTATTTTTCTCTGTATCCCTTCAAAGGTGGGCTGCATATCACACCAAAAGAGGCAAATGTGCAATATATGCTGTAAATCCTGTATTAAAAAATGTTTTTTGTTTTAAATTACACTTTTGAATATTTATTACTAAAAAGATAGAACACTGTTTGTCCATTTATGTCCTAAATTAGTTTTTTTTAAATATATTTTTCTTGATTTCAGAGAGGAAGGGAGAGATAGAAACATCAATGATGAGAGAGAGTCAGATAGGCTACCTCCTGCATGCCCCACACTGGGGATCATGCCCACAACCCTGGCATGTGCCCTGACCAGGGATCGACCACTGAGGCACATCAGCCGGGCCCAAATTAGGTTTTAAAAAGAATTAACCAGATGTCAACAGGAACCTTTATGCCCTGAAAGAAGCAATAGAAAGGTTCAAACATCCCCATCTGTACAACAATCATTCAGGAGAGCTACAGGGTCTGGCTTCAGGTCAACAGTGGCTCTCTCTGCGGCCCACTTGCCTCGTGGGGTGAGCTAAGCCAGCTGAAGAGCCTGAGGATATTCTGGGATGTTGAAGTACCACTTACCCAGAGGTAAAGAATAATGAGTTGGTACCTTACAATGAAGTGCCATGGCTCTGGAAAATGAGGGAAATTCTCTAACTAGTTTCAACCTCTGGTAGACCTATAATCTTTTGTTTCTTTGCTATAAAAAGAGAATTAAAGTTTAAGAGAGTGTGAGTCTAGCAACCAGAGGAAGGTAGAAGGTCAGATTATAAATGAGTAAGAAAGTACAAGATGTTAACAACATAAAGATATTGATTCTCCCTAGATTAATATATTATTTCATGCAATCCCAACAAAAATACCAACAGGAATTGGGGGGGGGGGGAGTACTAAAAACTAAATAAATAATTCTGAAGATCATAAGGAAAATGAGAAAATATTAAAACATAATTTGGAAGAAGGAAGGATAGCCCTATCATATACCAAAGCATTTCATAGAGCTCAAATAATTAAAATACTAACACACAAACACACAGTGACATCAGTAAAATAAAATAAAGAGACCCCAAAAGGACCCAAATACATGCAGAAATTTGGTATATAATATAGAGGCACTTTAATCAGAAAGAGAGAAGGTGGATTACAAGTTGCTGGGGCAACCTGGTAGATATCTGGGAAAAAATAAAGTTGTAACCATACCAAACACCCTAAAACAAAATGAATTCTAGATGTAAAAGTGTAAAAAATTTAAAAATCTAAAGAAAAATTTAAGACAAAACTATGAGAAAAATTTCTTATAATATTGTAGTTGAGAAGGCCTTTCTAAGTATGGCACAAAACCCTAAAATAATGTAAAAGATCTAAGCTGATTGCATAAAAATTAAAACACCCTGCAAAGCAAAAATCTCCATAAGCAAAGACAAACAACAATGTGGAAAAGTAACACTTGCAATTCAATGACAGATACAGTCCTTACTTTTCCTAATAGGTAAATAATATAAACAGATAATTTGCAATAAAAGGGCATATGCATAGCCCTTTAAAATATGCACTGTGGTCAAACTAACCCATTAGAGAAATGCATTAAAATTGCACAGAACTGGAATATGTATCTTTCATATTGGCAATAATCAAAAAAGTTGGATAACATTGGGTTATCAGACTGTAGGAAAAAAATTTCTCTCATACATTGCTGTTGGGAATATAAGTTGGTATAACCTCTAAGTAGGGCAATCTATGAATAGCTGTCAAAATTACAAATGCATATGGCTTCTGAGCCAACAAATGGACTTAGCATTCATTCTATAACTAATGATGTATGTAAAGATATTCATGCAGCAAAGCTGTTTGTAGTAAAAATTCAGAAACAATCTAAAGGAACAACTTAAATGGCCCTCAATAGTTCAATTACGGTATATCCATACAATGGAATATAACACAGTTTCAGAGTGAGGTCGCTCTATTGCACTGACATGAAACAAACCAAGCTATAAGAAAAAAGCAAGAGGCAAAAATACACAGTGATTTTAAAACATCTGTGTTTTAAATATGTCATATACATGTATGTTCATATATTTAGAATATAGTATACCTCCGTAAGGATATGCATGTATCATGTAAATGGTTGCCTCTGGTGAGGAGAATTAGGCATCTGAGGAACTAGGGGTGGGATGGAAACTTCCTTTTATTACAGCCTTAAGTACCTTTTGAATTTTGTATCATGTCACTCAAAAAAATATAGTAATTTTAAAACTAAATTAAATCGCAGATTGTCTTTTCCAGGTTAGCACACTGGATACTGCTTCTCTTTGCTGGAGTGGCAGGAAATCTCCAGTGTGCCTAATCCCAGGAGAACAAAAGAATATAAATGAAGCACCAGAGTGCTAAGGATCTCACCCCTGCTCAGCAGCTCAACTCTCTTCCTGCCCTTCCTCGTTGCTCTAATGTCTCCTCTTCCACTCACCTGTTGTCTGCGTTCCTCTAGTTCCCTCTGTATATTTTCTACCACAGCCACAGCCTCTTCTCCATTTTCCGGGTGATGTTCTCTCACCCAGGTCTGGAACTCTTCAGGCAGGATGGTCAGGAATTGCTCCAGCACCAGTAGCTCCAGGATCTGCTCCTTGGTGTGCAGCTCAGGCCTCAGCCACTCACAGCAGAGCACCCGGAGCTGGCTGAGTGCCTCCCGGGGGCCTGATGCCTCATGGTACTGGAAGTGCTTGAAGCGCTGGTAAAAAGTCTCAAACACTGGCGGACTGTACTCCTGCATCCACGTGCAGTCTTCTTCTTCCACCTTCACTATTAGAAGGTCTTCTTGCTCTTGTGAAGTCTCAGCTGGAGGGTCCAAGTCAATGACTTCCCCAGATTCTGTCATTATCATTCCAAACTCAGAAGGCTCTCTCTCCCCTTTAGCTGTTTTACACTGATCACATACGTTTTCCTCTTTAGGATCTTCTGGAGGACACGTTCATTATTATGCAACCTACTGATATATTGGAAATTATTATTAGCAAAGAGGTGACATAGAGGTCATTTATGCTAAAGATGACCATTCAACAGAGTAATTCATTTAAAATATGAACAAGTCAGCTTAAAGTATTTCCCACATTTAAAAAAATGTAAATGAGAGCCACAAAAAATCTGACATCAGGCCCAACCAACATAATTTTACTGGTGAAGAATATTAATAGGACAAGACTTACTAACTAGTCCAGTCGCAGTCGCTCCTTCTCTCTACCTTTAAGTCAAACTTAAGTCAGAACAGGGGTCAAAAACACTACAATGATCAAAACTGGTCCTGTCTTTCAAGCCAGAAGGGCCTGACAGACCAACGGGAGACTTCATTGGTCCCGAAGAGAAGCAGGATAATAAGGGCAGATTTGGACCTGGATTTCTCGGAATCGACCCTGACCCCGTACACACGGGAGACCGGCCCGGTCAAGGTTAGGGATAGGGCCCCCGTCTGGATACAATGCCCATTCCCTTTCCTCAAGACTCCAGCCTCGGGGAGCTCTCCTGGACGACCGAGCTCCCGCAATCAAGGCTGGAGAGATGGGTGTCTTTTCACAAACGGAGAGAAAACCGAAGGCGACACTTCGCACCACTTCCTCGCCGGAAGTAAGCAAGTCCAAGCTTTCCCTGTCCAACGGGCTTGAGCCATAAATCCACCCCCCGAGAGCACTTCCGAGTCCGCTCTAGGAAACCCGGAGGTCCTCGCCTCGCAGCGGGTGGAAAGTGCCTGCACGCTCCACCCCAGAGGGGCTGTGGGCCAATCGGTGGGGAAATGGGGCGGTGGCCCAGGAGCCAGTCACGCCCACGGAACCTCAGGAGCCGTGAAGAAAACAGCCACAATCTTTCCCCATCCAACCCCAAAGCAATTTATTTTTAAAAAATATTTTTATTGATTTCAGAGAAGAAGGGAGAGGGAGAGAGAGAGAAACATCAATGATGAGAGAATATCACTCATCGGCTGCCTCCTGCACACCCCAACTGGGGATCGAGTCCGCAACCCGAGCATGTGCCCCCGACTGGAATGGAACCGGGACCTTCCAATCTGCAGTCCAATGCTCTATCCACTGAGCCAAACCAGCCAGGGCAACCCCAAAGCAATTTAAACAGCTCGGGCTCCTCCTCTTTCTTTGGAGTGCAGGCAGGGGGCGGGGTCGTAGGTGTCGCGAGCTGTTGCTAAGGCGACAGTTGCCAGCATCCGATTTGCGGTGGAACCCGCGCTCCCCAACCCTCAACGCCCTGCGCCCCAATTCGGAGTAGGGTCCGTACCTTTCTGCAAGCCCACAACTGTCACTTCTCTTTAATTTTGAACCCTTCGGTTTCTTCACATGAATCTCACCACTCCCCGCACCCCGTTTGCAGACACACCCACCTCTTTACCATCTCAGCTCTCTCTGGGCTAAAATCTCCAACGTTAAACTCGCGAGCCCCGGGAGCCGGCGGCTACCAGGACTACATCTCCCAGGAGGCGCCGCGTGGAACGTGCCCGCTAACCAATAGGGCCGCGGCTCTCTTTTCAGCCTCGGTTTCGCGGGCCTATCAGAGTGCGGGAGAGCAGGGACGTTTTTGCTCCAACGCCTTGAGCTGGAAGGCGGTGTTCGGCGAAGTCCGTTGCCTTCTTTCGTGGAGAGAGTGGATGCCGAAACCACGCATCGTTGCAAAGTAGGGAAATCATCTATGCTGGGCTTCTTCAACCAAGGGGATCCCATCCTTAATAATTTCTCATTTTACAAAGCTGTTTGACAGGCAAGACAAGAGGCTTATCACCACTCTTTTACATATCGCCAAAATGAGGCTCACCTACTCCACTCATCAGAAAGCACACATCCTTGGATCTACTGAAGAGTTATTTTTTAGTGTATGGGATGAATTTTTCACCAATCAGGGATGAGGTTTGGAGACTGACTTGCTAGCGCTGTGGTCTACCTTATGGGAATGAAAGAAATTCAGAAAAATCCCCTACTATCTCCAGAGAGTCCTTTAGCAGGAGAGGCTCAAATTGACGGGGGGGGGGGGGGGGGCGGATTTTTTTTTTAAAAAAATTTGGTTTTGATTCCCAAAGGAAGGGAGAGGTAGAGAGAGAAACATGAGGCTGACCCCAACTGGGGAATTGGTCGGCAACCCGGGGCATGGGTACCCCAAACGGGAACCAAACGGACCCTTAGGGGTATGTGGTGTGGAAGTTCCCACATGGG